TCGCCGTGTTCCCGCGCCGTTCTGGTCTTCAGGGCGGACTGTGAGAGGAGAGGAGTTCGTCACGCTGCCCCGCCTACATCCTGGCTGCCCCGCCTACATCCTGACAGCTGCAGAGTCCTGACTTTTGGGGCGGCCGCCCGAGAGGAGGGAGGGGAGCGGGCGCCCAGCACACAGAAGAGCCGCATTGAAGTTTGTAAAGAGCCGCATGTGGCTCGCGAGCCGCGGTTTGCCGACCACTGGTCTAGGGGATGTAAGTTTTTGAAGATTATTTTCTAGTGGAAAACTTGGAAGGGGATTTGGGTGATGCAGCATACTCCAAGTGGAACGTATTGCTAGGAGAGGACACTTCTTATTAGCTGTAGCACTGGCATAGGTAGACTGAAACAGTCCATGGTTCACGCTGGGAACATGAAGTAACACGAGAACACATAGAGGCAGACTGGAACAGTCCATGGTTCCCGGTTGGGGACCATGAAGTAACACGAGCACAGATAGAGGCAGACTGGAACAGTCCATGGTTCCCGGTTGGGGACCATGAAGTAACACGAGCACAGAGAGAGGCAGACTGGAACAGTCCATGGTTCCCGGTTGGGGACCATGAAGCGACACAAGCACAGATAGAGGCAGGCTGGAACAGTCCATGGTTCCCGGTTGGGGACCATGAAGCAACACAAGCACAGATAGAGGCAGGCTGGAACAGTCCATGGTTCCCAGCTGGAGACCATGAACAGGAACACGAGCACAGAGAGAGGCAGACTGGAACAGTCCATGGTTCCCGGTTGGGGACCATGAAGTAACACGAGCACAGATAGAGGCAGGCTGGAACAGTCCATGGTTCCCGGTTGGGGACCATGAAGCAACACAAGCACAGATAGAGGCAGGCTGGAACAGTCCATGGTTCCCGGTTGGGGGGACCATGAAGCAACACAAGCACAGATAGAGGCAGGCTGGAACAGTCCATGGTTCCCGGCTGGGGACCATAAAATAACTTTAAGGTTTGGCACAGAATGGAGGCTCTACCAACAAAATCCTGGAGCACGATCAGTCCATAGGAGCAGCCTCTCCTAAAGTAATCCAGCATCCGGTCCCAGGGGCACCAGGAGAAAGCACCCCCCCCCCTTCTCTTAGCTCACTGATCCATTGCCTCAGGATGGAAACTATACAATCTCCTCAGGGCTCCAGACTATGTAACAGCACCCCAGCCACCATCTGTGCTAGGGACTTACTCGAAACCTTTGGTTCAGGGGCAAGTACAACCCAGAGGCCCATGGTGCAGCGACTCGGGCCCCCTCCTACTCTCCCACTTCCCTACCTCCTCCTAAACCCTATCTCAGGCTGAAGCTCTGCTGCTACAGGTACTCTCTGCTCACCTGGCGGGTTGGGCTGGATACTGACTCCAGGTTCCCGAACTGGCTGGCAAGGGGTAGCTAGGGGCTGAAGGGGGGAACATGGGTGGTTTGGCTGAGGCTGACTGGGGGGAGGAGAGTCTCTGATGGGTCACGGAGCCGGCCTTTGCTTGGACACGGTGTACACCATCAACGCCGGAGGGGAGGGGGGTGAGGGGCGACCTGTGCTCTGTCTTCGTCCCGCACTCGGTAGCACACCAGCGGGGACGTTTTACTCACCTGGAAGCCTTCTGGCATGTCTGCAGTGGAAGTGATGAGGCCTTTTTATGGGGTATCAGAGCATCCTGGGGGCAATTTCCCCACTTCCCCCAATGCCCAGTCGGTCCTGATTGAGATGCACCTTCTCAGGGATTGGCTAGGACTTGCTCAATATTCAGTCTAGATATTTGAGTTCTCCTTCCATAAGCTCCAGAAACTTCTTCTAGAGGCAGGGGGAAGCAATCAAACTCCAAGCCTGTGAAGCCCCGAACAGACCAAACTAAACAATTGCTGCCCCTCAAGTTACAGAAGGAGCCAAAAATAAAAACAATGACTTATCATCCCAACGAGGAGGGAGCCACACGTAGCACAGCCAGCAAACTGCAAAGGCCACCAATGGCAGGCAAGATAATTTTCTCGCCGGCGCTTTTTTTAGGCGTTGGTGGTTTGCGGGTCCTTTTTTTAGATAAGAGCGTACATGCTTTACATCATCTCAGCCCTTTCTTCAAGTGACATTACTTTTCTATAGAACATAAATGCGATGTTTGACACCATTTCCAAACAAAGCCGAGCTCTTTGAGGCTTCTGCTGCTTCTTAAACTCAAATTTACCCAAAAAAAGATAAGGAAGAAATTCCTCGTTCTACAAAGAGACATTTGGATTCATTTAGCAGCGGATCTTAAAAAGAGTACAATAAATGTCGGCTTTACATGAGATCTCGAAGATCAGATTAGAACGAATTTAGAAGAAATGAATGGGAATGGAAAATGTGGAGAAGCGGTGAAGTCGTTTACCATCCACGTGCATTTCTGAAGGAACGGTCATATCGCGCTGCCCTAGGCACCTGTACATGATGTGGCCCCGGGGCTTTCCTCCCATAGGGGGTGGTAGGTAGAGGGGCGCTGGACACAGATTTCAAAATGCAGACAAAGTCATTACTTGAGCCCAAGTAGCCTGCAGAGGGGACATGCACCTGAGGTGACCCAGAGGCGTAGCTAGGATATTTTGCACCAGGGGATGAATGGCCACCTCATGACACCCCCCCCCCCCCCCCCACTTTATATGGTCCCTGTAGACACCCCCCCGTCCCGATCACATTGCCCCCCCCCCCCCTTTATCCATGGCACTACTCACCCGGCTCGGCTCTCCCCTCGTCCCCTCCGGCACATGCCTGGCTCACTGCCCTCCTCTCCGCTCCTCTCCCGGCCGACTCCTCTCTCCTCTCCGCTCCTCTCCCGGCCGGCTCCTCTCTCCTCTCCGCTCCTCTCCCGGCCGGCTCCTCTCTCCTCTCCGCTCCTCTCCCGGCCGGCTCCTCTCTCCTCTCCTCTCCGCTCCTCTCCCGGCCGGCTCCTCTCTCCTCTCCGCTCCTCTCCCGGCCGGCTCCTCTCTCCTCTCCGCTCCTCTCCCGGCCGGCTCCTCTCTCCTCTCCGCTCCTCTCCCGGCCGGCTCCTCTCTCTCCTCTCCGCTCCTCTCCCGGCCGGCTCCTCTCTCCTCTCCTCTCCGCTCCTCTCCCGGCCGGCTCCTCTCTCCTCTCCTCTCCGCTCCTCTCTCGGCCGGCTCCTCTCTCCTCTCATAACTCACTGTGGATGGCAGACATATCAGATGACACGTCTGCTGCAGTCGCTGCAGTGATCTTGTGACCTCATTTTGGCGCCCCTGTACCTTGGCACCCTGGCAGGGGTGGACTGACAACTCATGGGGCCCCGGGCAATAAGGGATCATGGGGCCCCTGTGTCCTTGCCCAAACTTAAAAAAGTCTATGAAAAAGGGACCAGGGGTATCTCATGGGGCCCCCTACTGACCCCAGGCCCTCGGGCAGTGCCCGAGTTTCCAAATGGTCAGTCCGCCCCTGCGCCCGGGTTCATATGTACCCCCCTGCCCCCCCTAGTGAAGCCTCTGAGGTGACCACTTCAGGAGCACCTATCTCGAGCTTTCTGGAGAGAGGTGACGTCATGGGGGAGGCGTGGTAGATGGGTCTGTTGAAGTGTTACAATGTATCCAGATCCCTGATTGTTACTTCCTATAGAGAGACATTGTAAGCGAGGGATCTCCGGACTCGGAGCCAGAATCCAAGTGATTCTCTGTGCTGGCAGTGACCTATCAGCATTGCTCTGATCCGTCCTGGAAGCAGGGGCGGACTGACCATTTGGAAACTTGGGCACTGCCTGAGGGCCCGGGGTCAGTAGGGGGCCCCATGAGATGCTCCTGGTACCTTTTTCATAGGCTTTTTTTGAGTTTGGGCAAGGACACAGGGGCCCCATGATCCCCTACTGCCCGGGGGCCCCATGAGTTGTCAGTCCACCCCTGCCTGGAAGCCTTGCAGATAGAAGGAAGAGCTGGGATTTCAAATCCTCAGACTGTTACACCACCCGTGTGGGCACTGACAGCTCATCAACATGTGGAGCAGACTTACTGGCTGGATCACCAGATGAAAATAGGAGAAGGAATGCCTAATAAAGGAAAATGAATGCAGCCACCACATCTAAGAATTGAGCTAAACGATTTCCAGGTATCCAGTTGGATAACGGTTGCAGAGCAGTCTCTGATCCAGAGGAGGGAGTCTCTTCCCATGCTGTCTGTCTGGTCCATTTAAAGGGGGCTTCCTGCAGATCCTTGATCATTATATGATTCAACACATTGCGCTTTTACTATGCGCATCTGGTGAGTGCGCATTTTTATCAATTCCGTGGACAGGTACAAGTCACATGGAATAATCTGATACCACCTGTGCAATAGGATCCGTGTTTGCAGCCCATCATTTTTTCAGACAGCCGCACTTGTTTAATTGTCATTGCAGCCCATTCACTTCATCATTGTATTTAATATCTCCATATCAATAATATTTTGAGTATTGCACTTTCATTTTTTTTCAGCGCGCCAATTTTTGTTTTTGTTGTACTTTAGGAGCGCCCGCCTGCAATATACGGCGGCTCGTGAGGCACAATCACATACCTGTACATCGGCACAGTCTTCCCGGTTCAGGGTGTGTGCGCACCCCCCCCCCCCCCCACGGCTGACTCCCGCTGTGATTGGACATTGGAATTTTGTCAGCAGGTCCAGTCTAATAATTCATGGCCTGGACCAGCTGATCAGCTGTGGCCAATCACAACTCAAAGCCCTGTGTTGACAAACAACACAGGACTCTGTACAGAGGGAGTGATCTGTGTCTGTTTCTTCTCCCTGCAAAGCAAAGCAGGGAGAAGGCACAAAGAGATCTCTAGTAAAAGCAGCACATATTGAACACATGAACACTTGTTGGGGTGTTAGGCACACGCTTAAAGTGGTAGTAAACGCTTCTTTAACCAGTTCTGCACCAGCCTATATCAGAAATACTACTACAGGGCGGCACTGGTGCGCAAAATCACCTTCCAGTCCAGACACTTTCACCCCCTTCCAGTCCGGACACTTTCCCCCCTTCCAGTCCGGACACTTTCACCCCCTTCCAGTCCGGACACTTTCACCCCCCTTCCAGTCCGGACACTTCCCCCCCCCCTTCCAGTCCGGACACTTTCACCCCCTTCCAGTCCGGACACTTTCCCCCCTTCCAGTCCGGACACTTTCACCCCCTTCCAGTCCGGACACTTTCACCCCCTTCCAGTCCGGACACTTTCACCCCCTTCCAGTCCGGACACTTTCACCCCCTTCCAGTCCGGACACTTTCACCCCCTTCCAGTCCGGACACTTTCACCCCCTTCCAGTCCGGACACTTTCACCCCCTTCCAGTCCGGACACTTTCCCCCCCCTTCCAGTCCGGACACTTTCACCCCCCCTTCCAGTCCGGACACTTTCCCCCCCTTCCAGTCCGGACACTTTCCCCCCCCCTTCCAGTCCGGACACTTTCCCCCCTTCCAGTCCGGACACTTTCACCCCCTTCCAGTCCGGACACTTTTTCACCCGCTTCCAGTCCGGACACTTTCACCCCCTTCCAGTCCGGACACTTTCACCCCCTTCCAGTCCGGACACTTTCACCCCCTTCCAGTCCGGACACTTTCACCCCCTTCCAGTCCGGACACTTTCACCCCTTTCAGTCCGGACACTTTCACCCCCCTTCCAGTCCGGACACTTTCCCCCCCTTCCAGTCCGGACACTTTCACCCCCCTTCCAGTCCGGACACTTTCACCCCCCTTCCAGTCCGGACACTTTCACCCCCCTTCCAGTCCGGACACTTTCACCCCCCTTCCAGTCCGGACACTTTCACCCCCCCCTTCCAGTCCGGACACTTCCGCCCCCCCCCCCCCCCCCCCCCCCCCCCCCCCCCCATTCCTGTCCAGGCCAATTTTCAGCTTTCAGCGCTGTCACACTTTGAATGACAATTGCGCAGTCATGCAACACTGTACCCAGATGAATTGTTTAGCATTTTCTTGAGATAGATAAAGCTTTATTTTGGTGGTATTTATTCACCGCTGGGATTTTTATTTTATTTGCTATGTAAATGAAAAAGTCCAAACATTTTGAAAAGAAAAGTGTTTTAGTTAAAAAATGTTGCAAATAAATAATCATTCATCATAAATCTCGGCCAAAATGTATTCATCTATCTTTTTAGTAAAAGAAAAAAAAAACAACCCAAATTAGTTTATAACCAAAAATTATAATTTTTCAAAACATTTTTTGACATTTTTATTTTTTATATTATTTACTTTTTTTTGTTTTGTTTTGTTTTGTTTTTAACATACTGTCACCCTAGCAGTGTGGGGTCACCATGGTGACACTGTACTACTTGTGGGGGGTGATGAAGATTTATTTTTTTTACACTGATTGCTTTTATACCCATATAGGCTGTAAGAGGAATCATTTCTCCTTCTCTCTGGCTGCATTCCTGCAGCCATTGAGAAATACTGTGAGAGCTGTGATTGGTCACAGCTTGTCACATGGTACAATGCTGTTGTGAATGGCCCTGTACCATGTGATCTCTGTGATCATTCACAGATTTCACTAGTAGTAAGCAATGGTGTCACAAATGACATCTTGCTTACTACTCTGCATGTTATCACTGATTGGCCAATCATTGATCACATGATCGGGACCTCACGCAGAGGTCCCATACAGCGATCGGACACAGCGGGCACTGGATTGCAGTGCTGTACGCTCCTAGGGAGCATGCACAGGCAGGGAAGTGGGGAGGACGTTTTATAAACAGCCCCTGCACTGCCACCGTCCGGCCGTTTATATACATGGACCGGACAGGAAGGGGTTAAGGACTGTCCCTCTCCTGCACTGGTCAGGAGATATTAGCCCTCTTTGATAGCCAGCGCATGTGCCCTTAAGGAATGGCCTATTCATGCTGTGCCACAGCCCAGGACTCCCGCGTGCATGCACGGGAGTGACGTCATCGTGGCTTGGCCAGTCAGCCGGCCAGAGCTCTTGAACCTGGAAGGAAGACCTGGTGAAGATGGAAGCCCAGGGGAGCCGTGACAGCTCTGGAGGGCTTCATTTCAAGGTAAGTCCTTCATAATGTGCTAGTATGCAATGCATTATGCGGGGGGGGGGGGGGTTCTTTTTTCTTTTTCTTTTGATGCGGTTTACTACCTCCTTATCCTCTTTATTACCCTGAGATGTTCACCCCTTATTTGCCAGTGTCCTTAGAACAGTGAAAATGTATAGTATTATCACTGATCACTGTATTAGTGTCCTTGGCGATGTCAGTGTCAGTTAGGCTACCGCCCACCTAGTGTCAGTTGGTGTCAGATTGCCCGCCGCACTATCACAGTCCCACTATAAGTCACTGATCACCGCTATCACCAGCGTAAAAAAATAAATAAATAAAAATTCCATTTATATCCCATAATTTGTAGATGCTGTATCTTTCACACAAACCAATCAGCATACACTTTTTGGGATTTTTTCCCCAAAAAAAATAAGTAACAGAATACATTTTTGCCTGAATTTATGAAGACATTTGATGTGTGCGTTTTATAACAGAAAATTAAACAAAATGTTTTTTCATTTAGAGTATAAAAATAAAGAATCCAGCGGTGATCGAATACCACCACAAGAAAGCTCTATTTGTGTGAAAAACAAATGATATACATTTTATATGGGTTCAGGGTTGCATGACCGAGGAACTGCTAGTTAAAGTAGCGCAGTGCTCAATAGCTAAAAAAAAGGCCTGGTCATGAAGGGGGGAAATCTTCCCGAACTGAAGTAGTTAAAATAGAAACTAAATGCAAAACAATGTGTATAGATATAAAAAAAGATTATAAATATCTCCCCCCCCCCTTTTTTTTTTTTTAAAAAAGTGATCACATATCCTCTGTTCTCAACTGCATAGAGAGCTGGGGGAGGAGAAACAACATAACACTTGTCCGTGAGTGGCTGTGCAGAGGAGGCGTGTCAGGACAAGTCTGACTATTGGAGGAGAGCAGGCTGAGTTCCCAGCACAGCTAGAGAATTGACCAGGTTGTGTGCCTAGTGTGGTCAGTATTTAATAGGAAAGCAGAGGGACTGGCAGGATCACAGGGATTCAGTCGCAACGTCATTCCCACCTAGACGAGAAATGGGGAAGTTCTTCCTTTGCAGCTCAAAAAAATAAAAGGCAATAAAAAAAAATACAATTTTGTTGGAGAAGGAGGGGCTTGTGCCAGACACAGAAGGTGTGTACATAAAGCTGGTGAGTCGACCACCTACCACTGAGTGGGGCCTTTTATTGCTCTGCCCCCCAATATGCCGACACATAGACAGTACAGCACAACATTCATGAAACGTTTGTCATCTTTATTCTGCTAGTATTAGTAAATAGGTAGGGAGGGAGAATAGATTTACTTCTTTTATATACAGTATATTATTTTACCAGCTACTTCCTGGTTTCTGGCCTAGGCCAAAATGATGTCATAAATCCCAGGAGCCCTCATGGGAGGAGGGGCTTTCTCAGCTAAGCACGCCTTCTTGCCTGCATGCCTGAGCTAAGAGCAAATGGATTCCAGGAAGTAAATGCTACATGAATCATATGCCTTAATTCTCAATGCCTTACTCAAGATGGTCACAGCTAGAAATTCGGGGGGGGGGGGGGGGGGGGGGGGGGTTTCTCATCAAAATAAAGTATGGAGTCATGGATGGATGGATGGGGGAGACATGGATGGAGACATGGATGGATGTGTGGGGGAGATATGGATGGATACATGGATGGATGGATGGGGGAGATATGGATGGAGACATGGATGGATAGATGAGGGAGACATGGATGGAGACATGGATGGATAAGGGTATGGGAGACATGGATGGATGGATGAGGGAGACATGGATGGGGAGATATGGATAGATGGATGGATGGATGGATGGATGGGGGAGACATGGATGGATGGATAGATGGGGGAGACATGGATGGATGGATGTATGGATGGATGGGGAGACATGGATGGATGGGGAGACATGGATGGATGGATGGATGGATGGATGGGGGGAGACATGGATGGATGGATAGATGGGGGAGACATGGATGGATGGATGGATGGGGAGACATGGATGGATGGATGGATGGGGGAGACATGGATGGATGTATGGATGGATGGGGAGACATGGATGGATGGAGACATGGATGGATGGATGGAGACATGGATGGATGGATGGATGGGGGAGACATGGATGGATGGATGTATGGATGGATGGGGAGACATGGATGGATGGGGGAGACATGGATGGATGGATGGGGGGGAGACATGGATGGACATGGATGGATGGATGGGGGAGACATGGATGGATGGGGAGACATGGATGGATGGATGGGGGAGAAATGGATGGATGGATAGATGGGGGAGACATGGATGGATGGATGGATGGATGGATGGATGGATGGGGGAGGCATGGATGGATGGAGACATGGATGGATGGATGGAGACATGGATGGATTGATGGGGGAGACATGGATGGATGGGGGAGACATGGATGGATGGATGGGGAGACATGGATGGATGGATGGGGGAGACATGGATGGATGGATGGATGGATGGGGGAGACATGGATGGATGGGGGAGACATGGATGGATGGATGGGGAGACATGGATGGATGGGGGAGTTTACTCTGAATATTAAAAATGAATTCAATAGTGTTTTCAGTTTATAGTGCTCAGATACAGTTTACTTGTACTTTAAAAAAATCGCAAAAATATATATTTTTTCTATTCTTCATTGTTCATTTCTATCTTCATTCTTCAGCCCTATTCTTCATTCTTCGGTTCTCTTCTTTATTCTTCAATCCTGTTCTTTATACTTCACTTTTATTCTTTAATCTTCAGTTCTCTTCTTCATTCTTTCATTTTATTCTTCATTCTTTAGTTCTGTTCTTCGGACCTATTCATTCTTTGGTTCTATTCTACATTCTTCATTTCTATTCTTCAATCTTCGGTTCTATTTCTTCATTCTTTGATTTTATTTTTCATTTTTCAGTTCTGTTCTTCGGTCCTATTCTTCATTCTTCGGTTCTCTTCTTCATTTGTTGGTTCTGTTCCTCAATCCTCAGTTCTCTTCTTCATTCTTCGGTTCTCGTCTTCATTCTTCGGTTCTATCCTGCATTCTTTAGTTCTCTTCTTCATTCTTTGGATCTCTTCTTCATTCCTTAGATCTCTTCTTCATTTCTTAGTTCTCTTCTTCATTCTTTAGTTCTGTTCTTCATTCCTTGACTCGTTCGTTCCTCAGTTCTGTGCTTCATTCTCCAGTTCGATTCTTTCTTCTTCAGCTCTATTCTTCGGTCGTCTCGCAGCAGATTCTTGGCATCTTCCACATTCTATACATGGAGCCGATTCCCTCCCGGTATCTCTGTATGGGGTTCCCCCGGTACGCCCGGCGATTCCCCGTCTCATTCCACCCAGACAGCGGAGTGCGCTCAGCCTAGACTTGTCATTCGCTCTCAGAGTTCAATGCTTCATAAAATGCTGTGAAGTGGCGGAGTGTAAGGAAGATGTATGTCCCCATCAGGCAGGCTTTATGGTTTGCGTGGATAGCGGCGCGGAGGAAGGATGGATTTTACGGCAGAAGGTGACAGAGACGGATCCATTACTGTCTATTAATGAACATCGCCCAGACAGCCGGATCTCCTGCAGATTGAATGCACTCTCCTCCCCGCCGTACTCCTCCATAACTTACCTCGGCTGCACATTGTACAGGGGGGGGCTGGGACCAGCGCCATGACGGCTCATGTTCCTCCAGACAG